ACACACACACACACAGGCTCCTCAAAGCTCGATGCAAACACATGTTTATTCTGCCGCGTCAGACGCTACCTCATGGCTGTTTGTTCAAAAGACTGAACACACTTATTTATTCCACTCAAATTTGTGGCAAGACAAACTGGTAAATAAATACAGTCTGCTTTCAGGAGAGGTGCGCTCTGTTCCATTATTATTTACTGTATTAGGCTGATAGACAGAACAGAAAAGTGTTGTGATGGATCTGTGTGCTTACTGTGAGCTTCGACGTGTGGGGCTGAATCTGTGATTTACTGTCAAAACATATCGAGTCTGCAAACATTTCTCTAACTCTTCTGATGGTTAGGACGGTCTGATAACATCACGGCAAACCTGCTTTGTGTCTGTCTAATGATGAAAGCAAACAGAGAAAGTAGTTATCGAGTCCCTGGCGTGTGTTTAGTGTGTCTCTGAACGAACGCAGCTCAATTGCAGCTTTTTGGTTTGTATGTGCATTCAAGAAAGTCTGCTTTCACTTGAGCCGTTCTGAGGTGGACAACAACATCAAAACATTCTCGATGGCAAAAAGCTGTAGGAGGAAGGCTGAGATATTTTACATGCACACAAACGGCACAAGTTTCAGAGCTCTGTTCACATCAGACGTAAATGGGCCGAAAGATTATTTCATTACGGCTTCACAGCCAATTTATTAGTTTGTGTGCCTTTGAAATGCTACATTTCTGCTCCAAATTTTTCTCTCACATGGTTTGGTTCACCAGTTTCTCCCTTTTTCTGTAATCCAGCAAAACTATATCTCATTATATGGTGACTTAATTTTGCAACACACATAGAAAATAAATATAATAGCAAACCAGCATTTATAAAAGCAAGAACGTTTTCCATATTTCTAAAGCTAAAACACCCCAGAAAGGTGGATGCAGACATTATTGCTGAATGAATAAAACGAAACCAACACACACACACACTCACTCACACACATACACACATACTCTCTCACACACTCACACACACACACACACACACACACACACACACACACACACACACAC